CCTACTATCCCTCTTGATTGTCTCCTTATCTGCTGCCTTTAAATGTTCACTCCCTCCACCAGTGGCTCACACTGGCTGCAGTGTGTACCATTGACAACATGCACTGCAGCAACTTGTCATGCCTCCTTCGATTGCACTTTCCTAACCCATGACCTCTACCACATCGAGGAACAAGTTCAGCCAATCCATGCGAACACCACTGCCTGCAAGTTCTCTCTATGCCAAATACCATCCTGACTTGGAATTCTATTGCTGTTCCTTCATTATTGCTGGCTCAAACCCCTAGAGCCCCCTACTTAAGAGCATTGTGGGGATACCTTCATCTGGACTGCAGCAGTATGAGATGATAACTTGCTACCACCTTGAAGCTGAGTAAGGATGGGTTAAAATGCCATAATCCAGTTGTTAATAATCTTGTCAATACCCAGAGCCTGGGCATTAATTTAAACCATTGTAAAAATAAATCTCATAGTAAATGAAATAGCAAAGATGTATAATGAATATTCTACCTCATTTTCTTTAAACAAATTGAGATTTTGAAAAACATATTGGCTATGTGATGAAATAGAATAATCAGACATGATGAGATAGTAACACTTTTTAATAAGATCATTTGCTGAATCTCCAAAACACAATAAGCATCAGACCCTGAAGCTATGGATTCTGAAATACAGTAGAAATAAGAGGCCCCGGTCACAATCTTTCAAATGTCCTTGGATATGCAAATTGTGCAATTGGACTGAAGGTTTGCCAGTGTAATGCTTCTGCCACAAAGAGATAAACCAGGTAACTCTAGATCTTTCAACTTAACCATGTTGATGGGCAAACTTGGTAGAGTCCCTACAGGATGAAATTTATGGTAGTCTAAAAAGACGTTGGTTAATTATGGACAAGCAACATGGAATTGTTGTAGGCCATTCATTTGTGACAAACTTGTTTTTAAAAAAAAAAAAAAATTAGACGTATTGTGAAAGGAATTGACTGTTAGATGTAAAAAAGCAAATTGCTGCAGATGCTGAAAATATGAAATAAACACCGAGAGTGCTGGAGAAACTCTATGGATTTGGCAGCATCTGTGGAGAGAGAAACAGTTAATGTTTGGAGCCTGGTATGTCATCTTCAAAACTTCAGTCTATTATATGTGGTTTGATATGGTATTAGGATGACTCAAAACTTCTTAAAATTAAGGTGTACAGTATTAGAGGGAATATGGCAGCATTAATAGGAAGTTGTTAAAGAATGGAACATGAGAAGCATAGTTAATGGATTCAAAAGAAAAATACTGCAGATGTTAGAAAAGTGAAGACAGAAAGTGTTGCAAATACTCAGCAATCTTGCAACATCAATGGATCACAGTTCACATTTCAGGTGAATGCTCTAATTAAGAGTAAGATTAGAAGAGCCATTTTGGATGCCTTATTTCAGTAAAGTTGTAAAGACCATGTAGTGTGGAAATGAGATTCACTGTCCATTCCTTAAGCCTATTGCTCCTCAAACCTACTATCAAGAAATGGGGGTTCCTTTCATTACAACAAAGAAGGTTAAGAAGAGATTGGGGGGGACATGAAATGAAATAAAATAAAATTATTGTGATCTGAAGGTTGCATTGGTAAGGGTTGAAATTTAAGATAATAGCAAAAAAGAGCAAAGCGGGAGGCTAGAAGTTAAGATGAAATGCTCAACCAGAAACTGCTGGTATCAGAATCCAGAATAACTTTAAAACAGCTTTTCTTCAATGTAAGAGCATGTAGGGAATAAGCCAGATAATGGGAGTTGGGAACAATGGGCATTTTTGTATCTCAGAATGTCCAACATGTTTCTGAAAACAGTGTAAGTGGGATCGAAATCTGGTGCAGAATTGGAGCTGTTTGTCTTCCAGTTTGATTTTTGGACAGATCTTGATCTAGAGCTCTTGCACCAAATGGGCAGAGTCCTTTTACTAATAAATGGAAATCGGGGTTCAATGATACAAGTACAGTCCCATTCCCCAAATACACTTTTTTTAAAAATTTCTACCATTTTGTTCCTAATCCCACCCAGGAAATATGGTTGGCGCAAGTAAGAGGCCACTGTTTCCATGGATATTTAAAAGGATCTTCAACTGTTCCAGAGGAAAAATCTGTTGCTGACACTTCACTTGTGTTTGGTAGTTCTGCTTCTTTCTTGCACAATTTCTCAGTGCTGCAGTCACCTTTAGAGTACTCTGAACTCTTAAGAGGTTTGTAGGTTTGCACTTGTTTCATGAGCGAATCCTTCTGGGAATTTCACTGAGGTAAGAAGCAAGAAACTGTTGGTAAAGGGAGAGCAGAATTAATGGAGACCTGCTTGCGGGGAACTTTAACCACCCGACTGAGTTTATAGGTCTGAACAATATACCTGCAGCTCTCTAAGGAGAAGTCCATATGAAGGCTTCAATTCTCTAAAGAGGTTGTTTAACCTGCAACCAACTGCCACAGAGTGCAACATTGCTTATTGCAATCAAGATCACTGCAGCCCTGAATGTCTTTGTCTTGGGTGACTACCAGAGGGAATATCTGTAACATCAGTTAAACTAAAGCTCCTGCTACTATTTGGCAGGTGACTGAAGCCTTGGAGCAAGCACTTTCCCTTGCTTCACTTGACCTTCAGAAATAGTAGATTAGAATTCTGGGATTTGCATAAAATATAAGATTTCCCCAAGTCCAGAGCTGCATGCATGTTGACGTGTGGGCTGTTCCATGCAAACTCCAACTTTTAGGAATTATGAAGGCTTCCATTCCGTTAATGTGTAACTGGTACATGTGATCACCCAGAGCCCATCATGCTGGTCTGTGCTTTCCTAGCAACTGCTCCAATACTTGTATTTTACCCTAATCTTTCTCCATAACTGATTCTGCTCAGCAAATGAGAGACTAGCAACTTGGGGCAAGGGCTATTCCTCACACTTGGCTCATAATTTTTCTTAGAATACTATCAATTGAGCTAGGGTTACTATGGTTAAGTCCATACGTCAATTGTAGCCCTCAATGAACAGGTTGCTGATGCCTTCCAGCTACAATTCTGATACTTGGGCATAATTTGTTGGTTTCTCTCCTAAATCTGTTAAGTATTGTGATAGTTCGATGTAAGCTGCATAACTGAACAGCAACCAGAACAACATAATTTGCATCTTTAAAGAAGACAATGATGGAATGGACACAAACAACATGGGGGGGGACTGAATTTTTGTCAGCAAGCATGAACACACTGAACCTCCAATCATTGTTGGCAGAAGGATGTCTTACATAGATTCTAAACCAGCTAACACCTGTGGTGTAGGACTGTTGTGAATATATGGTGGTTACCTACAACTGTAATTTGATAAGAGCAATATGTAATCATGTAATGATGCTCCTAGCCATTTAGACTGGGAACTTCTCTGGTTTTATAGTTGGTCTGCATTGAATTAGCAGGGGTTGGAGCGGTGTACAGCTGACGTTTTGTGTTTCCGTGGTTAGAGAAAGGCAGAATCTGCCCAGGGATCTGCTCCTGATAGCTATGAAGTAAACCTTGTTGATCAGTGTGCACGCGTGTCTCAGGGTGACTTGCCTGTGTGTGTTCTTTTTTCCTTTTCGCCAGCATAGTTTCCTAACATTCATCTGAGTCTGTGTGAATAATCAGTTATATTGATTTGAACTTGTAGAACTGTACTCAAACAGTATTCAGTCTCTTGGAATAGAGGGGTGACATTTTGGAGGTGGAGGAAGTAATTACTTCCAACTGGGACTTAAATCTGTGGTGTTTTTCTTTATTTGCATAAACTGGATGAGCTATTTGGGCGAAACTTTGAAATCTGTTTCTGAAGTAGAATTGCATAGATCTATGTTGGTCTTTACTCCTGCTTCCATAGGGTGGTGCAGACTGAAGAAGGGAAGAAGCTTGCAGATTCCTGGGGGGCTGCTTTCTTGGAATCCTCAGCAAAACAGAATGATGTAAGTGACTAGAGAGAAAAGTTGATAACCTAAATGTTCTCCTCCCCAAAGGAAGCAATATATTATCAAATTAGTAACAGTGTTTAATTCTAAAACTGATTTTATGCAAGTGTTGTTTTGTTTTGGATTCTTGGATTCTAGATCATGGTTTGTGGAACTGTTCCCCATATTTGATTTCATCTGCTACCCTGAGACAGATTCACAAAAGGAACTATGTTCTGGAATCCTAACTTAAACGAATATTAGTTAAAGCTTTAATTTGGCTGTCTAAATTTGTTGCACCACAATGATATTAGTAGTGTGGTTTGATTTTTACTGCTGATCCCCAAGTGTTACTGCTGCCAAATATGTTGTACAGAGCTAACAGTGTTACTGCAACAGTGCATACAAAATTTAAATGCAGTGGGAAACTGGAGTGTAATGGACTACATGGAGTAAAACTTCTACAACATAGATGCAGAAGACGCAGATGGGGGTAGCACAGTGGCTCAGTGGTTAGCACTGCTGCTTCACAGCACCAGGGACCTGGATTCAATTCCAGCCTCGGGCAACTGTCTGTGTGGAGTTTGCACGTTCTCCCTGTGTCTGCGTGGGTTTCCTCCGGGTGCCCTGGTTTCCTCCCACTGTCCAAAGATGGGCAGGTTAGGATGGATTGGCCATGCTAAATTGCCCAGTAGTGTCCAGGATTAGCCATGGGAAGTGCAAGGTTACGGGGATAGGGTAGGTGGGGTGGGATGCTCTTTGGCAGTTGGTGTGGAGTTAATGGGCCGAATGGCCTGCTTCCACACTGGAGGGATTCTCTGATTCTAGATGCAGTATGCCTCTCCCTGTACCATCCCTTGAATATTATTTTTAAAATGTATTTTTGTTTACCCATCTTGATGTGTGTCTGCAGTTCCTGGATGTGTTTTTGGGATAAAATGAAATTTAAGAACTGTGGATGCTGGAAATCTGAAACAAAACCAGAAATTTCTGGAGACACTCAGCAGGCCTGGCAGCACCTGCGGAGAGAAAGTGGGGTGTGGGGTGTGGGGTGGGGGTTTGTGAGGAGAGAAAACAAGTGAATAGGTGGAGACGGAGCTCAAACAGAGAGAGATAGCTAGCAGAAAAAGGATGGATAATTGTCAGCCAGTGAGACAGAAAAGCTGATAATGGGGATGATACGTGAAAATGTGTTTGTTGTGCTGAAAACAGGCCATGTCATGACAGGACCTGGGATGTGGGGGTGGGCAAAGGACAAACAGAAGGCAAGAATGTGGTGTTCCCTATGTTGGGGAGACAAGACACAGACTGGGTAAACACTTTGTGGAACACCTACATTCTGTCCACAAAAATGACCAAGTTCCGGTTGCCTGCCACTTCAACACATGACCATGTTCCCTGATCAACATTTCTATCTCTGGCCTGCTGCAGTGCTTCAGTGAGGCCCAGCACAAGCTGGAAGAACAGTCCCTCATTTTCCACTCTGGGGCCCTGCAGCCTTCAGGACTCCTTTATATAGAGTCCAACAGTTTTAGAACCTGAACACCTTCCTCTGTTATTTACCCACACTGGTCCTGTCATGACACATGGTTCTTTCAGCACAGCTAACCCATTTTCACCTAGTATCGTCCCCATTGTAAACTTTTCTTTCTCCCCAGCTCGCCATTATCCATCCCTTTGTCTCCCTAACTGTCTTTCTCTCACTCTCTCTCTGGGCTCTGTCCCTATATCACCTTTTCTGAGGTACTAACAGTTCTGGAGAAGGGCCACTAGACCTGAAATGTGGAATCTTCTTTCTTGCCACAGATGCTGCCAGACCTGCTGAGTTTCTTCAGCAATTTCTGCTTTTACATCACTTTTAGACTTATTTTGAGTACAGAACTTCCTGAAGGGAGCTGAACAAACACTGCGCAAAACACGGGTGAACTTATTTGGCTGTTTGTGACTGCTGATACTGAGGGGTTAAATTTTTTGCACAAAAATGAATTAGTGTTAGATTTAGGTAGTTTCACAGCACCACTGTTTATAGATGCATGTGAAATGGCCCAAACCTGTAACTGTTCCTACACTATGACCTGTAGATAACACTAATCACGTACAGTTCAAAACTTGTGCTTTGGATGTGGACCACTAGCACACTTGCTGAGAGCTACAGACTAACTTTTAAATCAAATGGTGGGGGCCAGTCTTTTACTGTCCTAGGTTCATCATCTGTATGCCATAGTACTTACCTTTTGAGAATATGCCTCATTAAAGTGTTGAATATTTATTGAATTGCTTCTCTTTCAGACTACAGTACAAATCTTCAAAATGATGATCCAAGAAATTGAAAAAGCCGATGGATGTACACAAGACAAGAAATGTGATATGATGTAGTGGTTTGTGGAAATGACATTTCTCTAGATAGCAAAGAAGAGAGGCACCTATGAATTTGTTTTCAAACCTAACCATTTGGCGACTGGTTACCCTATAGTCAAATTGCTAGCACAGAAGTCTACTAGAACTGTTTTGCACTAATCAACTTATTGTTACATTAGTATTATATCGGTTATTTGTGCCTTCTTTTATAGTTTGTAATAGTCCTAACATCAATATAGATTCCAAAAGATGAGATGAAAGGAGGGAAATGTAGCAATTTTGCCCTGCAGAAATAATTATAAAGCAATTTTATTTGGGAAAGTATTTATCATTTGGTTCCTGATTGCGGGGGGAGGGGGAGGGGGAGGGGGGAAGGAGGCAGTGGTGGTGTCACTCTCTTGTGGTCTTTTTAGTTGGATAAAGATTGCCACTCTACTGGAATACAATGGTTGCAGTCTCGTATGAGGTGGATTCAGTTTTCTGATGAATTTTTTAATGTTTGCATCTTGTACTGCCTATACTATCTCAAATTTTGTGATTGGGTCAAGTTTAGATTGTGATAGCTGAGTCTTGGACTGCTAAAATCCTTGTCTATGCTTATTAAAGTTGGTGTGTTTTTTTTTGAATATTTCCGTTGAATAGCTGGATTTATAAACAAAGTACATTTTGTAATGTGTTGGTTGCTAAAGCTGCCAATTATAACACCTCCAATTATAACACCTCCAATTAGATATTTTTACTTTGGTTTAGAATAATGTTGAAGCCTCCTTTTTGAAATGAGTATTTTTCTGCTGACTGATCTTTGGGAAGAAGCCCGTGACTTGACACCCCTTTTCCCATGCTTCCTACTGAAGTATGCTTTTGACTGACTTTGAACAAAGGTAATACCAAGAAAATGCTGCTGTTTGAGATAGTAACCTGCTTTAAGCTGAATTATGCTGCAATGTTAATTTTATCTGCTAAGGAAAGATAACTTATTGCAAAACATTTTGGTGTATAATATTTAGATCAACTGTAAAGTTTAAGAATTTTTTTTTGTTAACTTAAATAAAGCTGAGTTACTTATTTAAATGGTAAACTTTGGCACACAGGATGTTCATGCAAAACTAATGATCATGATCCAATCACCGTGTGCAGAAGCAATTGTAATTTCTGATAAATTAAGATTTTCTATATTTGTATTTAAGATTTACTTATTTTTGAAGAAATTGTTTGGTCTTGTTTTTGATATTTCTTTACTAAGCAATTGGTTGAGTCATTGCACGTAATGGCATATTTAGTGTCTGTTATGTAATAGCTGAGTGAGTGTCGCAGAGCAGCCAAGCTTTATCAGTACAACTGGAGAGATTTCTCTCTGATAACTTATCTGTTAGGTGACTTTCCTGTTGTTAGTTTGATTTATGCAATCATCTTGTGGAATAAAAATTTTCCAATAAATTTAAATAAACCAAAAATATCTTTTTTGAAAAGGAATTTCGCCTCCCTATTGCTGCTATTTGGTCAGAAACAACTTAACATTGTGCTGTTAACTGTCAGAAATTATATATCATTGAACGTCAGTGGGTGAATTGCATTTTCTTCTTGTGTCCTCCTTCTGACTATTGATGCAGTATTGATATTCTGGTGAGGCTCATCTGTTCAATGACTTGCCCAGTGAAATTCAATTCAAGAGTAAAATATTGTTTTCTTAAATCGGGGCCAAATATACGTGGATGTACTTGTTCACATTGCTGTCGACACTGTGCCTTTGAATTATTTGCTTTTGCTTAACTTGACCTCCTTGTCTTGTGCCCTCCATAGATGTCATTTGGATCTTGAAATGTTGGCTGATCGATTGAATGGTTTATCACTTAACTACACTCCTACTGTAGTCAGTATATTTCTTGTCTGGATCATTTGCTTTTGTGTTGGATTACCATCACCTCTTTGACTGTTTTTGTGAAATTTTCAGTTTAAAAAATGGCCTATGAAGTATTATGTGGAAGTATTTTGTAGAATTTGCTTTTTTGATTTATTAAAATATTGTGGAATCTTCTATCATGTAAATTTTCTTGAACAACATTTGAAACCAGGAAATTGTTCTAAGAGCTTAGAATATAAAATTTTACCAACAAAATTGTTTAGACTGACCATTTTATGCTGAAGCAACCACAATATGTACACCACATTGTGATGAATGCATTTTTAACCATAAAGCTTACATGGGCGGACACTTCTCTCAGCAGTAAGTGTGAGAAGGGTTTCTTCAATTCTAGTTCCACTTTCCTTCCCTGAGGGCGTTGGCAGGTAAGGTGTGCACACGCTTTCACCCTTTTTTTTTGAAAGGAGATGTGTGAAAGTAGCTGTGGATGACTTTGATACTAGGTATTAATTTGTTAGCTTTTATCAAATTTGAATCCATGGCATGTTGGTATATTAACCTGGGTGGCATGCAAATAATTATTTTAAACCAAGTCTGCTTTGAATTTTGGAAATTGTAACAATTCTAAGTGACTGTAGTATTAGGAATGGAAAAGGAGGAAGTGAATGACTTTATCCAGAAATAACTTGTTTGAAGGGACAACAAATTCTTGATTCAGGGTTTGATATTGCCACAACTGAGTAATTTTAAGTATTTTAGAAAGAAGGCTGATCTTGCTGCAGGATTGTGGTGTCAGTTTTTACAAAGTGGCTTCCATAAGTCCCATGACTGGTTTTTGTTGATGTACCGCACCCAAAAAGGCAGGCAGACTGACATGTTGTTTCAGTATCAACCACCAAGGGAGTCCTTTCAAATTGATTAACCCTTGGACAACATAATGGGTGCTTCTAAAGATGAGAGAATTCAAAACTCCTGAGAAAACAGGAGACTGGAAGGACACCGCTGGAAATTCCAACGCAATTGGCTTTGCTTTGTGGAATCATGATCTATCAAAGTTAATATTGTGGTGACCCTAATCTTTTGATCTGTATAAGATGGGTTGCAAGATATCATCTTGAGCAGAACTCTTCGTCGAGTTCTGAGGCACACCAGTGAGAGAAAGGGAGACTGAAAAAGGCACCCCAGCTAAACGACTGTTGTACAAAACCAAGGTACCAATGACCATAACCTGTGGTGCTGTGAAAGCAAACTAAACGAGCCTTCACTCTGACTTCTAATTCCCAACTCTTCGCCTCCAGAGAGAATCTTTCAAGCAAGTAATGGGCGTGCAATGTTAACAGTCTGCCTGCTTCTTTCAACTTTTAAGTATCTTTTATCAATACCTACTTTTAAGTATCTTTTGTATTTTAAGTAATAACTTTTTTCACTGTTTCTTTCAGCATAATAAACTAACCTTTACCTTGTTGAAGACAAGCTTTACTACTAGTTATTTTTAAATTGGGACAAAAATCTGAAAGGGAAGAGTTAAATGAATTCTACAAATTCACAGTTTACAGACCACTGCCAGGACATGCCTGGTGTGGTTAAAATGCTATCATGCATTGTGAAAAGGCATTATTGATTGTTGCACTTAGCTTATTTTGTGTTGAATATGTTTCTTGTAATCTTCTAACCCTTCCATCTGTGTAGTCTCTGATTTAGGTGCACAAAATACTGATTTATGTAGAAATGTAACAGGAGTTTATAATGTACACGTGACGATTTAGCAGCTGCTTGTGTGTGGGTTTACTAATCTAATTCTCCAATGCTCTACCTAAAATAAAACTCAAACAACAAAAAATCACTTAGATCAGGTGACGGTTTCTCTCTCCACAGCTACGCTGACATTTCAGTTTCATAACTGCTGAATAGTCCCTGTCTTTGTCGGATTCTGGTAAGTTTTCTCCAGAATTTGATAAACTGACAGGTCTGTAATTGTTTCAGAGATAGTAGGAACTGCAGATGCTGGAGAATCTGAGATAACCAGGTGTAGAGCTGG